GCGGGGCCCCACGGAGAAGAGCAGGAGGTGCAGGCAGTCGAGGTCGTGGGCGCGGGAGGCGTCGCCCTGCGGGGTGGGTGGGTGGGTGGGTGAGGGGCTGGCGGTGCAATCTTTCATGCGAGTGTCAGAACAGGAATGTGTGCAGCGAGGGTTCTTTCAAAGAACAGCTTCCAGGGCGGCTGAATGGGCATTCCGCTAAGAAAGCACCAGGCGCCAGCCAAGCAGCCCCGGCCGCGGCGGCTCCCCGGGCCCGCCTCGCTGCACGCGGCGGCGGCGGCGCACCCCCTGCAGCAGCTCTGCCAGGCAGGAGTGCATGACCGAGGCGGGGATGACGCCCTCGTTGAACAGAGCAGCCACAAAGGTCATGGCGCCCATCTTGCGCTTGTACCCCTCGCTCATGCCTGCGCCGGCCGGCCAGGCAGGGCGGGGGCAGCTGGGTGCGGGACGGCAGGCAGGCGGCAGATTTGGCTGGCGGGTGCACAGGCCCCTGGCGCGCCCTGCCAGGGTCCTGGCCTGGGCTCGCCCGGTGCTTGTGAGCTGCGTGGGCAGCCGCCGGCAGGCCCCCTGGCCTCACCTGGCGGCGGGCTGAGGTCAAACGCCTTCTCGCACCGCGTCAGCAGCAGGCGGCGCAGCTGGCGCCCGTTGCCGCTGGGGTCCAGCGCCAGCACCTCGCCCAGCAGCTGAGCCACAGCCAGGGCCTTGTCGGGGCCGCTGGTGGCGGCGCGGTACATCTGCGGGGACAGCAGGCAGCTTATGGTCAGAATATGGGCGGAATGGGCAGCACCCATGTGCCTGGTTGCAGCGACGGTGGCACGAGCGCATGGATTGGCCGGTCGCCACGCCGCCATCTGGCGCGGCAGCACCCAGCGGCCCACCTCCGAGGCGAGCCCATCGGCCTGCTGGTGCACGTCCAGGTCTGTGCCGGCGATGATGGCGGCTGCCTCATCCACGCTGTCCGGCCGCAGGTCCTGCAGCAGCCGCTGCACGGCCAGCACCAGGGAGGCGGCCGGGGCGGGCGCCGCCGCGGGCGCCGCCGCTTCCGCCATGTCGGGGGTGGGTTGCCTGCGCACCCCTGCAGGGCGCGGCAGGGGCAGGAGGCCCGGTCATGGCTCGTTGCGGGCAAGAGCACGAGGCACGAGCGGTCTGGGTGCGCATCGCGGGGACCTCGGCAAGCCATGAGATCGCGTGGGGACCTGATTGCCGCCGCAGGCGCCATGATCGCTGGCGCGTGGCGAGCGTGTGGGTTTGCAGCTGCAATCAGGCGTGATGCGGTGCGGCTAGGCGCTCAAACCTGCCGAGCCAAGTTGGGCACCAGAGCTGCTGGTTGCCTGCCCAGCAGTCCCCTGCCTGCCTGCTCGTCAACTGCTGCAGCAGCACGCTCCACATGTCCAAGGGATGGGATGGCTCCTTTCCAATTGTGCCGCCCGCCCGCCCATCAGCGTCGACAGCAGGAGCGCTTACACAAGGATGACAAGGGCATTGTTTAGCGCTCGAGCCGGGAACAGGCTATGCAGCTAGCGAGCCGAAAGGAAAAGAAAATGCAAGGTCAATGGCGGTGCGCTGCGCAAACCCAGTAGTACACAATGTATCAGGGAACCGAGGTGCACTGGCGGGAAATTATTGGGCTTGATGACAATGATGGGAATGAGGCAACCGGTGCTGCACCCTGGCCAGCCGCACGCATCGCATTCACAGCTGTGCGTGCCAGCCAGGTCGTGCATGCGCTCTCAACCACCAGAAGACCGCCGGCCTGCCCGCCAGCCTCAGGCGGAGCGGTTGGTGCCGCAGATGCCGTGGAAGTGCCAAAGGTCGTGGGCCGCGGCGGCGGCCGCCGTGGACTGCGCGCCCTGCACCGCCAGCGCCACGCTGCTTACGCTGAGCACCGTCGCCATGACAAACACCAGTAGGCTGCGGGACTTGATGTGCTGGTTGACCCACAGCACCAGCAGCTGTCCCGCCGCGGTACAGATCAGGCCCATGGTGAACAGCATGGCAGCGTAGTCCCACTGTACCGCCCCAAAGGAGATGAATACCACAGAGGCGAAGGCGGAGGTGAAGAAGATCTGCGGGCGGCAAGGAGGCGGGGCGGGGCAAGGACGAAGGGAGAAGAGCGAGGTGAGTGAGTTGAGAGCTGGGCACGGCAAAGGGAGGCGCCGAACGGGCTGCAGGGCAGCAGCAGCAGCAGCGGCGGCGGCGGCGTGTGGAAGCTGCCCACCATGGTGGCGGAGGTGGCGGCCGCCACCTCAGGCAGCACTCCCATCTCCAGCATCAGCGGGCCCTGCAGGGGTGGGAGGGTTGCGGGACAGGAAGTGAGCGTGCATGCACCAGGCCACGTTTGCGGGACAGAAGCATCCCCACAGCCTTCCATCTGCCATGGCGGGCACACACGGCGGGGTTCTCCCGCACGGCCAGCCAGCGTGCCTTGATGATGCCACCTCCCACGCCAAAGATGCCGGCGGCCAGCCCGGCAAAGGAGCAGAGGGCGGGGTAGAGCAGGGTGGAGCCAGGCGTCCACTCCACATCCCCTTCCAGCAGCTCGTGGCCCGACGCCCGCTGCGCGGCGCCCTTCTTCAGCAGGTACGTCCTGCGGCCGGCAGGATGCAGCGGAGCAGGCTGAGGCCAGGCGGCGCGTGTGCGCCAGTGCGACCGGACCGCAAGCGGCAGCCTGCGGCTGTGCCGCATCTCAAGCTTGCAGGGGCGGTGCAGCAGCGCACCTGACTGCAGAGAGGGTGGCCAGCGTGACGGGGACCATGGCGGTGGCGGCCAGCCAGTAGGGCAGCGAGGGGCAAGCAGCCTGGCTCTTCAGCACATCGCTGACCACCACGCCTGCATGGAGTGGAGCAGCGCTGGTGGGACGTAGGCGCCTCGCGGCGCACAGGGGAGCAGCAGGTGGCCCTGCTGCTGCTGCTGCTGCTGCCACAGCACAACGTCAGGGCGTGCATGGGAAGGAGGGAGCCCCCACTCACCTGCCAGCAGCAGGAGCAGTACGGCGACCTTGCCCCAAGGCAGGTACGGGTGCCAGGCAGCCGCGCGCTTGCTGCTGCGGGTGGTGCCGCCGGCGCCATTTGCGGGCGCCTTGTGCCCGCCAGCCTGCGATCCCGCCATGGGCCACTTGCCGCCGAATGGGGTGGCACGGAAGCCGTGGGCGCACTGCTCGTCCGCACTCGCGAGCTGGGTGTCTTGAGGCTCCCTGCAGGCAGGCAGGCAGGCAGGCAATCACAATTGCACCTCCAGCTGCCGCGCCAACCTATGGTCGCTTCCAATCCTTTTCCCACTGACTGCGATCTCTCCTAGGGCTGCAACCACCCAGCATCCTGCCCGCACTCACTCGATCGGGCTCAGCAGCGGCAGCGTCAGCTCATCCGCGGCGCTGGCCTCGCCGATGGGCAGCGGGTGGCTGGCGGGGCGGCGCTCGGACGTGGGCGAGGGCGGCGCCGCCGGCTCCGCCGCCTCCAGGTCCAGCCGTGGCTGCGCACCCGGGCCCTCGGCGGCCGTGCTGCCGCCGCTGCTGGCGGCGCTATCGGGGCGCAGGCCCAGCGGGCCGACCGGCGAGGGCGTGCGGCCGCCGCGGGGCCTGCCCTCTTCTCCTTCAGACGAGCTCAGGCTTTCGGTGGCGGGGGCATCAAAGGTGTAGTCTGCGGAATTGACGACCGACAGGCGCTGCAGGGAGTGGTGCAGGGAGTCGCGCTCCCGGGCGTGGATCTCCCGCCCCTTGTTGAACGTCTTGTAGCTGATGAGCGCCAGCAGCACCGACAGGGACACCGTGGTCAGCCAGCCGGGCAGGATCTGCGCCGCGGCGCACGCAGCAGGGCGGCGGGGTGGTGAGCAACACAGTACACGCGCGAGCAGAGGCAGCGGCTGAAGGCGAGTGCGCGATTGTCACCATACAAGAAACACAGACACACACACAAAACCAAAAACAGTTGTCACCATACAACACACACAACGCCAAAAAACACAACACATGCGCGCACACACGCACGCACACGCACACGCACACGCACGCGCACGCGCGCACGCACGCACGCACGCGCGCGCGCACGCACGCACAAGCGCGCACACCCCCGGCCCGCCCTCTGCCTCACCTTGTTCAGGTAGCCGCCCACCAGGGCCCCCAGGATGGTGCTGGGCTCCATGACCATGATGAGGTCCCAGTCGATCAGCGGGCCGTGGCGCGCCGGGTGGCGGCGCTGCACGTTAAAGGCCAGGTTGGCCAGCGTGCCGCCCACGATCGTGATGTTGCTGAGCGCCACCGCGGGCGCGGTGCCGAAGCCTGCGGGCGGCAGGGAGGGCGATGGGGTGTGGCGGGCGGGGTGGTTAATGACCGCGGGACGCAGGTGAGAGGTAGGGGCAGGCAGGGGCAGGCGGCGTGGCTGTGGAGGCGGCGTTGTTCCTGCTGGTGGTGGTGGTGCTGCTGCTGCTGCTGTGCTGCAGGCTCGGCTTGCCAGCACGGCGCGCTCACCCAGCACCATCAGGTTCAGGGGCACGAGGATGGCGCCGCCGCCGATGCCCCCGGAGGCCGCCAGCAGCAGGGCGAGGGAGGCCAGCACCACGCCCAGCACGTCCCAGGCCGACAGCGGCAGCAGCGGCTTGTGCGGCAGCGGCTCGTCCTTGCCCTTGTCGTCCTCGCTGGCGCTGCCGCTGGCGCTGCTGCCGTTGAGGCCGCCGCTGCCGATGCTCGTTGGGCCGAGTGCGGCATCCGAGTGCAGCAGCAGCTCACTCGGCTGCAGCTCTAGGGGGCACCAGCCGCTGGCCAGTGCGCAGGCTGTGCTGTGGGGCACGAGCAGCGGGTGCAGCCGCGCCGCCGCTGCGTGGTCGTCGGCGGCGGCGGCGCCACTCTGAAGCGGGTCCCGCGGCGTGCTGCCGTGAGGCTCCGCTGCTGAGCAGGCGAAAGCGGCCAGAAGCAGCAGTGTGGCTGCCCTTGCAAGCTGCATTGCGGCCGCCCTAGCCCTAGGTATTTTCTCTCGTTGGGGACTAGCTCCCTGCTTCCGCTGCCGACTCGAAAGTCGTTGCTATGTCATGCGCAGCGCTCCAAAAATAGAGGGGACTTAGGCACGTGCATCCGCCTGCCGCATGTTGCTCCACCGCCTTGAACGCCCTGTGCCCACGCTCGCCCCTTGCAACAAATGCCCAATTGGTGTCCTGCTCGAAATTACAAGAACCGTAGGAGGTGCCAGCAGTTGCACCAGCAGAAAATGCCGTCAGCGGCGGGATGCACGATGGCGGGCGGCGGCGAGATGCAAGGGTGGGCCAGGAGCAGAGTGGCAGGGTAACAAAAGCAAGCGTCATAACATCAAAAGAGGCTCTAAACAATCGGTGCTGCTGCAACGGGTCAAAACTGAGGAGCAGGGGGAGGGGTTGAGTTTGCGGGGCGGCTCATGGCTGCTGCCAGTCACACGCGGTCGTCCTGCAGCGCGGCCACCTGGCGCGCCGCCAGGGTGGCGGCCTCCAGCGCCGACGCCTCCACGCCGTACTTGGAGCGCAGGCGGGCGGACCAGGAGGAGGCGCCGCCGCCGGCGTACGTCTGCACCACGGTGCGCGCCAGCGCCTCTCGCACACGCTCGCTCTGCTCCTCGCAGTCGTCCACCCAGGCCTCGTAGGCGGCGGTGTAGATGGCCTGCAGCCAGCTAGCCGCCGCAAGCACCCCGATCTGCAGGATGAGCGCCCCCACCGCCGCCAGCCGCGCCGGCCGCTCGTTGGCGTCCACCCAGCCCAGCGCCTCGCGCCACCGCCCTGATGGGTCGTCTGCACGACAAGGGCACACCCGCCGCCAACTCCGGCTCAGCTCAGCGTGTTGCAGCTGAGGAGCTGTGCCGCAGGCCAGCCCGAGCACACGCAGGCAGCCTGGTGCCCGCTCCTGCCCCCGCCCCCACCACCACGGCATGTCCCAGGCAGCCTCACCTGGGATGCGCCCCCTCCAGGAGTTGTCTGTCAGCATCAGGAGAGTGGCGCCTGCCTCCCACAGCACCAGCAGCGCCATGAGGGCAATGTAGGCCGAGAGGTGGGCTCGGCGGTCGCGCTTCACGCCCACCAGCCCGCACAGCGCGGTGAGCAGGCAGTACACGCCGGTACAGCCGACCAGGTAGATGAACCTGGGTGGGTGGGAGGGGGAGGGGGAGGATGACAAGGTGGGTGTCAGCTAGGGCTGGGGCTGGCGGACTGGCCTGGCGCCGGTAGGAGGTGCCGCTGGACGGCAGCGTGGCAGCAGCGGCAAGGCAGCAGCGGCAAGGCATGCAGGCAGGGCGCCAAGCTGGCGCCAGCGCAGCGTGCAGCTCACCAGGGGAACCCGGCCACGGCGGCCTGCAGCCAGTGCCCCGCCAGCTGCCAGCCGGGCCGGCCGGCCGCCGCCGCCGCCAGCACGCCGAGCGCTGCGGGCAGCGCCGCCGCAGGCCGCGCGCCCGCCATGTTTTCCTCTGCCTCTGGCGGGCCCGCCGGCGGCGGCGCGTCACCGCCATGCTTGTACTCCTGAAACATCCAGATCGCCTTGCCGATGACCAGCAGCGCCGCCGCCGCCAGCGCGACGTTGAACACGCGCAGCAGCAGGCGCAGCGGGGGCGCGGCGGGGCTGGTGACGCGCGGGCCGGGCGGCAGCGGGTCGGGGGCCAGGGGCGAGTAGAGGGCCATGGGAGAGTACATGGCTGCCTGCCTGCCTGCCTGCCTGCCTGCCTGCTTGCCTGCCTGCTTTCAGCTCAAGGCGGCTGCCGGGCTGATTGCCTGCCTGCCTGCCTGCAGCTGCCTGGACCGGCTACGCCAGCAGCTCAGCAGCTGCACGCTGCCCTCTGCTGCTGCTGCCCGGCTGGGGGGTTCACTTCTTGCGCTTGCCGCCGCCTGCCTTCTTGCCGCCGGCTTTGCGGGGGGGCTGCGCGCGCTGCTCCACCCGGCGCTCCACCTGCAGCTCGTAAGGATCCTCCCCTGCTGCGGTCTGCTCGTCTATTCGCTTCTTCACTTCCAGGTAGCTGACCGCCGTGAAGGAGGCGAAGGTGAGGCCTGCGATGCCAGCAACGGAGCCCACCTGCGCGCAGGAGGTCCCGACGGCGGGCGCAGGCAGCGGCGGCGGGAGTGAGACGGAGCGGCGGCGGCAGCAGGACAGCTCTCCGGGACATAGGGAGATGCATCCAGCAAGCAGTGAAAGGAGGAGGGGGGCTCCCCCGCTGGGGATGCCGGAGTGATGGCGGCTCATGAACCCGCTGGCATCGTGGGTGCTTGGCGTGCCTCCCGTCTATGATGCAACGCCTGTACTCGTGCAGCAGCTATGGATGCATGCACAGGACCCTCGCAACTGCTTCCCGGCGTGCCGCATAGCGCCCCCCACTCACCAGCAGCAGGGGCTCGGGGAAGGGCATGACTCTGATGCCGTCTGCCCAAGGGGTGCCGCTCCGATATGGGTGGCAAACGCTGAGCTGGCGACATCGCCGGCAAGATGCGCCATGTGGCGGCGGCAGCTGAACAGACCAGCACCGCAATACTTGCATCGCATAGGGATCCCCTGCCAAACTCCTGCCAAACTCCCAGGGTTATTGTGCGCCAATGCTTGTCTTAGCTCACCTCAGCCTGCCCAGCAGCAGCCTCTCCGCTCGGTTGAGGCGTGACAACAGCCTCAACTTAAGCCTTGCTCCATCCCCTATTCGGCCCCTGTACTGTGTCCCAATCAGATCAGATTACGCGGCAAACAGCATACGAAGGCAGGACAGGGTTACTTTGCCAACCTACGGCGCTCGTCAGCGGCGCCTGCTGGAGCGCCCCTGCCGCTGCTGCTGCTGCTGCTTGCCCCGGCGGCGCTGGCTGCCGCCGCGGCCGCCTGCCGACCCCTCCTCGCTCTCCTCCTCAGAGCTGCTGCCTCCAGGCTGGTAGCTGTCCTCTCCGGCAGCCTCCTCCTCCTCCTCAACGCCCTCCATCCAATTCTCGCTATCGCCTCTGGCTGCCGCCGCCGGTGCCGACTTGCGCCGGTGGCGCTGCGGCTGCTGCTGCTGGGGCTGGAACGCGTGCTGCCAGGCATCGTCTGCCACCCAGCCAGCGCCAGCTGCGGCGCCGCCCTCCTCCTCCTGCTGCTCCTCCCCGTCGCTCTCGCGGTAGCTCTGCCGCTGCACCGCCCGCCCGCTCGTGCGCAGGCCTCGGCGCTGCCGCCTGCCGCTGGCTCCTCCTGGCGCCGCAGCCCCTCTCCCGTCCCGCCGCTTGCCACCCCCGCCGCTCTCGCTGCTGCTGCCAGCCTCTTCCTCCTCCTGATCCAAGCTGGCATACTCGCCACGAGTGCGCCGCGCACCCGCCCCGGCACGCCCGCTGTGCCGCGCGCCGGCAGCCACCTGCTGGTGCCCATTCGGCTGGCCAGCCCAGCCGGCTGGCCAGCTGCCGCCGTCTCCTGCTGCCGCTGCTGCCGCTGCCGGTGCGGGGAGCGATGCAAACCAGTCTGGCGGCGGCGGGGGCGCTGCAGCGGCCTCGCCGCAGCCTGCCGCTGCCGGCTGCCCAGCTGGCGCACCCATGCCGCCGTGGGTGGACGCCAGCAGCGCGGCGACATCTGCAAACAGGTCCGGTGGCGGCCCCGCAGCGGCAGGTGCACCCGGCGCCGCCGCTGCCGGCGCCTGCACACCTGCACCATCTGCTGCCCCTTGCGCGGGCCACTGCGCCGGCGCCGCCGCCCCCTCTGGCCCCGCGTGCTGCGTGCCAGCATCGCCAGCTGCTGCCGCTGGCACGCCTGGCGGAGGCTCCACCGCGTGCTGGCCGTCTGTGATCGCCGCTGGTGTCGGAGCTGCCGCTGGAGCAGTACCCAAGGACCTCCTGAGGTGCACAGGCACGGTGAAGCGCACACGCATGCCGCCGTCGCCTGCCCGCCCCGTGCCCGCCTCGCCAAACGCAGCACCCAGCGGCAGCTCCTCCCGCGGGCTGGTCTGCTGTGGCAGCGGCAGCGGCAGCGGCAGCGGCAGCGGCAGCGGCAGCGGCGGCGGTGGGAGCTCCGCGCCCTGCTGCAGCAGCAGCTGCAGGTCTGGCATGCCCAGGTCGCCCCGAGGCTGCCCGTCGCGGCGGCTATCGCGGCGCCGCGTGCCGCGGCTGCGGCCGCCAGCGCCCGGCGCTGCTCTGGCCTCTGCAGCTGCCCCCTCTGCCACAGCTGCGTCTTCTGGATACGTGGCATACACCGCAAGGTCCACTTCCTGTGGCAGCAGCCCACGGGGGAATGCGGTGTGGGGGTGAGAGGGTGGGCTGCAAGGTCGGTCGCTAGTTCAACCTTGGTTACTACTACTTTCGCGTTCCGCAAGGCTACCAGCGGACGTGTCAGCAAGCGTGTCTTCACGACACCCGCTCCTGTGTGCCAACCCCAGAACGACCCACCCACCCACCCACCACCTCACCTGCCCGTGCAGCACAGCCGTAAGGTACGCTGCCAGCGCGGCCGCATCCTCAGCCAGCGCATCCACGCTGCCGTTGAAGGTGGCGGCGTTGGCGGCGATGGTGGCCAGGTCGGACTGCACCGCCTCGGGCTGGCGGTAGTAGCCGGAGGCCAGGCGGGCGCCCACCTCGCACAGCGACAGCGGCAGCGCCACCTGGCGGGCGGGGCGGGGCAGGGCAGGCGGGAGTGTGTGTGAGGATGGGAGCGACGAGACAGCCTGACGGCAGGCGCTCGGGAGCTGGGAGCTGCTGGTACAATCCTCGTGTACCAGGCAGCTCAAAAGCTTCTGTGGCGCATGCATGCTCCGCCCGGCGCCCCACCAGGCGGTTGTAGTACTCGCGGCGGCGGTTCTTGGACAGGTATGACTCCTCTGGATCCGGGGAGGCGACAAACAGCACGAAGCGGTCCTGGGAGCCGGCAGCCTGCAGCGGCAGGTGGGGGTGCAGGCACTCAGCAGGACAGCGAATCGGCACGGCAGGCGTGTGCTCCCCGCGGGCGCTCCCAGCAAGAAGTGCTGGCTCAAACATGCGGCCGGGTGGTGGTTGGTGTGGGAGGCGGGAGCGGCGCGGGCAGACGCCCACCTGCACGGCTGCCAGCATTTTTTCCACGACTGCCGGGTCTAGGGAGGTGGCCTCCTGCGCCGCCACCTGCGCCCCAGGGACGCGCAGCAAAGCATGGGGCATTGCTGAGTATGTGCCCCTGGCTGCACCTAGGTTCATCTCAGCAGAAAGTAAGCAGGAAGACGCAGGTCGGCAGGCAGTGTGGCATGGCACATACCTGGTCTATAGAGCCAGGGGTGAAGAGCTCCCAGGGGCTGTGCCGCTGGTTGTCTGCCTGCCTCTCCTCAACGAGCTCGCCACCGGGGCCAGCCACGCCTGCAGGGCGCAGGGCCTTGCGAGGGCAGCTCGGCAGGGCATGGCGCAAGATGCAGCATGCCAGCATGCAGCATGCACAGCAGAAGCCATGGCACCACCAGGCAGCGACGTCAGAGCGGCCGCCCACCGTGCCACTCCACATCGAACCGCTCCCACAGCTGGCCGGCGCCATACGGATCCTCCAGCACATCGGCATTCCTGCAGGACCGCCAGCAGGGGGCGCCTCTGCACGCTGGCGCAAGGCTGGGGCAGGCATTTCCGTGTCCTGCACAACCCCCTGCGGCGAGCCAAGATGCGCTGCGTCCCACCTGCCGCCCCGAGCGTCCTCTATGATAGTGCCCAGCCACCACTTGCCGCTGCCGGTGGCCTCCTCGTCATTCCAGTACTGCAGCCGGGGGAAGTACCATAAAATGTGTGTTGGGATGGGATGCATATGTATGCTGAGGCAGCTGCAGGGGCGCCTGAGCGCCGGCAGCAGCTGGCGGCAGCTGCCTGGTGTGGCAGCCGCAAGCAGGCCGCCCACGCACCACTTGGCACCGCTGGCCGACCTCCCAGCACTGCGAGACCACGGAAGCCTGGAAGCGGCTGGCCAAGACCACATACTCCACACAGTTTGCGACCGGGGGAGGCACCTCCACAGCAAAGCAAGTGTCCTGCAGGCAGGAGGCAGAGGATGATATGTGTGTAGCACTTCTGCACGTGTGGGTGCATTGAAGGTGAACGAACAGGGCAGACCAGGCCGGGCCAGGACGGGGCAAGACAGGGCAGGGCAGGGTGTGGGGAAGCGTGAGCACCAGCGCAACAACTCGTGACTGCGCTGCCGTGGAGGCGGGCGCAGGCAAACGCGGCCGGGCGCTGGCGCTGCTGCGGCTGCGTGGCCTGCCTTGAGCGGGGAGGCGTCCTGCGTGAACATGAGGGTCAGCTGGGCCACGGTGAAGTCGGTACCGTCGTTGGCAATCGCGTACTGCACATCCACCAACCTGAAGCCAAGGGGAAGCCGGGCGGGACGAAGCAGCATGCGCGCATGGTCGAGTGAGAGAGGGGGAACCACAGAGCGGCACGGCACGGAGCAGGCGCTTGGCACCAGCGCAGCACAAGATCGCAAACAGCAGGTGCCCCCGGGCGTCAGGCCCCCGCCGCCCCCACGCCCACCTGCAGGGCTCGGCGGGGCGGATGCTCCTGCCGTGGCGCAGCGTGGCCCAGGGCGGCGGCCGCTTGTCATTGGTGTCTTGAAGGTACCGCTCATGCCCCTCTCGCAGGTACACCACACAGTCGCCAGCCTGAGGCACATACACCGCGCTGGTCGGGCGTGTGGCCAGCAGCCAGGAGTAATTGGAAAGCGCGCGGCCGCCGGCGCCACGCGCGCGGCGCTGGCGCTTGCTCTGCCGCCCCTCTGCCTGTTCCGCATGCCCGGCCGCCCCGCCCTCCTCCTCCATCTCGGCCCGCGGCCGGCGGCGCGAGCGCTGTGCCGCGGCGGGGCGCCGGCTGGGGCCTGCCTCCTCCTCGCTGCCGGCCCCACCCTGCATGGCAGGTGAGCAAGGAGCAGGGCCAGCACAATATGGGGTCAGGCCGCTTTCAAAGCAGCCTTGCCGGCAGCGGTCGTGAGCCTAGAGGAGCCCATGCATGCTGTGCACAAACCATAGCATGCGTGTACAGGGCCATGACTGTACTGCAGCCGTACCTCACTGAGCTGCTGCTCCTCCTCCGAGCTGTCATCGGCACGCCGCCGCCGCGCCGCCGCCTGGCGCTGCCGTCGGTGCCGCTCGTGCGCAAGCTCCTGCTGCTGCAGGGCCCGCCGCCGCGCCGCTCGCGCCTCCCTGTCCTGCCGCTGCCGCTCCTCGCGCTGCTCATGATCTCCGCCTTCGTCCTCCTCCTCCACAGCAGCAGCAGCTGGACGCACCGCACGGCGCGTGGTGGCACGGGAGGAGCCGCCGCCGCCGCCGCCGCCTCCCTCGCGCTGCCTGGCCAGCCGGCTGCTGTGCCGCGACGCCTCTGCCGCGGCGCGCTGCCGGCTGGGGCGCTGGCTGTGCCGCCGCCTGCCGCCGTCCTCGCCCTCCTCCTCCTCCTCATCCTCATCCTCCTCCTCCTCGCTAGTAAGCATGCCTGAATCCACATCCTCATCAGAACCATCCAGGCTACCCTCCTCAAACATCTCCCCTGAGCTCTGCGGCTCAGCAGCCTCGTCCGCCGCAGCCCCAGCCCCCTCCTCCGCCCACTGCTGCCGCCGCTGCCGGCTGCGCGGCCGCCCCGCCTCTGCCGCCGCCTCGCGCGCCACCACCTCCCGCGCCCCGGCATCCAGCCTGTCATCGTAGACGGTCAGCCGCTCCTGGGCCCGAGAAATGGCCAGCTGCACCGTGTGCTCGGTGCCGTTCACCTGCACATCAACCCAAGGCGCCAGGCGGGCGGGGGCAGAGGAATGGCAGCAGCGTGGCAACAGCGTGGCAGCACGGCAGCGGCAGCCCGGCACGGCAAAGGCAGCCCAGCTCCAGCAGGTGGTGCAAGCAGCTCGGCGGCCAGCGTGAATGCAGGCGGCGGAAAGCAGCGGGGCCGGCAGCAGGGCGCACCTGCTCCACCGCCCACTGCGCCGCCGTGAGGGTGGGCGCCGCCAGCAGATAGCCGGGCTCCTTGCCCGGCTCCAGCCAAGCCACCTCCTGCAGGCAGTGTTGAGGGAGAAGCGGAGGCGGGGCGTACGTTGCTGTCAGCATCAGGCAACAGCAGGCATACAAGCCAGGCACAGGCAGCGGCAGACGCTGCGCAGGCGCAGTTCTCCTCACACCCAGCAGCAGCAGTGACAGACAGCAGGGCATGCCTGCGTGGGTGCCGACAGCACGCGCTGCGCCCTGAATGCCTCCTGCAGTGGCTCCGGGTAGGGGTTGCCCAGAGCGTCGCACAGCGCGCCGCGAGCTGCAGGGTGGGGATATGTGAGTGGGCGCACAGCCAAGGCGGTGAGCATCCTGAGAAAGCCCAACGCCAGCCGCTCCACACAAAACGGACGCGGCACAACCCAACTGGCCAAGGTCAGGCTGCTGTTGCCCCCCGCTGCCCTCCACCCAAACACCCATGCCACACCCCCACAACCAGCCACAAACAGCGACAAACAGCCACACAACTCAAGCACACACGCACGCCCACGCACGCATGCACACCCGCGCACTCCCGCCCCGCCTTGCCTTCCAGCAGGTGCGGCGGCAGCTGCGTCTCCGCGTCCACCACGTTGTGCTGCAGGTCTCGCATGAGAGGGCTGTAGTCCGATGAAAAGAACTGGTCGTAAGGGGCCCGCCCAAAGAGGGTGCCCTCGCATGGGCCAAGAGAGTAGTAGTGCAGCTGACCCGCCACGTCTGCGAGGAGGCAAGATAGGATGAGGCAAGGGAGGTGGTGGGTGGGCGGTGAGGCGGCAGGCAGCAGGCACGCGGGCGAGGCGCTGGGTAGCGACGCAGGCAACGGGGTAGGCGGCAGTGGTGAGAGGAGCGGGCTGGGCGGCGGCAGCTTGGCGGCGTACCTGTGACGGCGATGGAGCAGCCGTCGGGAGAGAAGTGGCCGTCAGCAAAAGGGATGGAGTCTGGCCAGCTGCGGCCGTCGGGGCGCGTCTGGCGGCTGCAGCAGCACAGGGGACAACGCACAGAAAACATGCGTGGTCATGCGTCGAGTGCAAGGCAGAAGCTGTTGCCGTGATGCACACGGCAGTCGGGCAGCAGCCAGGACGCTCCGCTGCAACCACACGGCGGCTGCAACAGGCGCGTCCCAGGAGACCCCAGCGAGGGCGCCCTCCCCACCTGCTGAATCTGCGCAGCACCGTGCCGCTGCGGGTGTCCCACACCGCCACCGTGCCGTCGTAGCTGGCGCTGAAGGCCAGGGCGGGGTCGGTGGGGTGGCACTCCAGGATGTGCACGTGGCCTGCATGGGGGGGAGGAAAGAAAGAAGGAGGAAATAATGACTTGACAGAAACAGGCGAGGGCGAATTGGCAGGCAGCGAAAGAGGAATGGAAGGAGGGGAGGGTGACACGGGAGGCGGTACGGCTCGATGCATGCATGCAGGGCATGGACTTCAGCGCCCTGCCGGGCCCCCCGCCTCACTGGTGTGGAAGGAGAGGTGGTGCAGCAGCTGGCCGCCGGGCATGGCCAGCACTCGGATGCCAAAGTCTGTGACTGACACCACCAGCCTGCATGGGCAGTAGGCAGGGCCAGCGTGGCCAGCGGATGGGAGTCAGCAGGTGGAGGGAGCTCCAGTGCGGCAGCGCTGGCGACCTGCCCCTTCCTCGCCGCCTGAGAAAAAGCAGAACCAGCCCGGCAGCCCCAATCGGCCCCACCCGTGCCCTGAACGTTTCTTCCAGCCAGCCCAGGCCCTCACCGCTGGTCGTCGGCACTCCAAGCAATCTGGTCGATGCTCGGCGCCGGCGGCGGGCGCCGCCGCCGCCGCGCCTCCTTGATCGCCTCCGGGTCTGGCAGCACAGCAAACGTCACCTCCTGCTCCCATGCCTGCGGCCGCTTGCGCCACCGCCGCGGCCGGCGCCACACCTGCGGGACGGCGCACACAGCGGGCTGGGTGGGGTGCAGGGCGAGCACGCCAGATACCTGGCTGGCCTGTGAATGCCTCGAACCCTGGCACCAGGGACGCTGCAGCCTCCCACTGCAGCCTCACAAGCCTCCCACCCATCAACAGCAAAACCCCAGCCCTCCCACCCACCCGCACGGTGCCATCCTTGGAGCCGGTGGCGGCCTGGTCGCCGCCGTGGCTGAACTGCAGCAGCACGACGTCGTTTCGGTGGCCCTTGAGCTGGCACACCTCCCGCGGGGCGGGCCACTCGCAGCCCTCGCCCACGCCGCCCTGCCGCTGCTGCCGCCGCTGCGGCTGCTGCACCTGCTGCGCCCGCTGCGCCGCGGCGGGAGATGGCTGGTCGGTGGCAGCGCCGGCGCCACCAGGTGATGTGCCATCTGCTGCTGGTGCTGCTGCCGCTGCCGCTGTTGGTTCCCCGGCAGACGCGGGCTCGGCCGCTGCCCCAGCATCCTGAGACGGCCCCGCCTGCGCTGCTGGGCTGGCGGCTGGCGGCCCAGCGGGGGTGCTGCCGCCCTGCTGCTGCTGCTGCTGCTGCAGGGATGCCGGCTGCGGTACTGCCCACTGCCAGATGTACACGCTGCAGTCGTTGCCGCCCGCCACGATATGCGTGCCGTCCCGGCTGAACCCGCACACCAGCAGGCCATCGGCGGCTGCGACACCATCCTCCATGTGCTCATCGTCTTCGTCGTCTGCTGCCGCTGCCGCTGCCGCGGCTGTTGCAGCTGTTGCAGCAGCCACACGGCCCTGCTGGCGCCCGCCTGGCACTGGAGAGTCGTCCCCATCTGTCACTTCCTCGCCCCCATCCTCGTCCATGAGCTCACTCAGATCGCGCAGCTGGCGGGCGGCCCGCCCGCTGTGCCGCACCCCCGGATGCTCGCCGCCATCCCGCTGCTGCTGCTGCTGCTGCGGCTGGGAGGAGCCTCCTGCCAGGTGGCCCAGCAGCTGGCGTTCCATGTTGCGCGTGGTTCGCACGCCGCCATCAAGCAGCCCCAAGGGCAGCTGCAGGGGCGCCGCCGCAGCAGCAGAAGGGCCGGCGGCGCCCGAACCAGCAAAGGGCTGCCAGCCCAGGCCGCCCAGCCTGCAGGGCGTAGAGTCCAGCAGCAGTATAGTATACTTAGTATGCATATGCAGTACAGGAGAATAGGGCGGCAGTCCTGGCTGGTAGGTGATCCCCGCCTGCCAGCTCACCTCGTGACCGCATGCCCCGTCAGCCCAAAGCGCGCGGGGTCGACTCGCAGCACAATCGGCGGGCTGGCCGGCTCGCGCGCCCGCCAGATGCGGCAGGTGCCGTCAAAGGAGGCCGTCAGCAGGGCGTCGGGCAGCCAGGGGTGGAAGTCCACAAAGGCGGCGGGGCCGGTGTGCCCCACAAGCACAGACACAGGCTGGCCGGGGCGCCCCGACTCGCCCTGCACGCAGCGGCACAGGCGGCAACGGGCGGCGATGTGAAAAGCATGGTTTCAGGACTTGCGATGGCTGCATTTGTTTTGTGTGTTTCACAGGCAGCAGCAGCGGGATCCGGCAGCAACAGACAGCCACGCGCCCCCACCACACCCCCACACCCACACCCACCTCCAGCTCCCACACCCGCACTGTGCCGTCCATGGAGGAGGAGGCGGCCAGGGCGTTGTCTGCCGACACAGAGAGGTCGGTGATCTCGGCGTCGTGGCCCCGGCAGCTGCTCTGCAGCAGCCCCGTCCGCGTGGACCAGATCTGCGGACAGGACCAGGTGGCCCAAGTACCGGCGGAAGTTGCAGTACCAGCGGCGGCACGAGGGGGCTGCTGGGGGTAAAAAGCAACAGCCGGTGCACAGTGCTGTGCCTGCTGTGGTTGCTGTGCCCAATGTGGTCACCGCCACCACGCAGCCGTGCCAGGCCTGCTCCTGTGAACTTGCGCGGCAGCAAGTATAGCTGTCGTTTGGTACCGCAGCAGCCACCGCACAGAGCCAGCTGGCCGCACCTTAACGAGGCGATCGTCTGAGCCTGTGACGATGTAGCGGCCGGTACGGTCGTAAGTCACGCAGTACACCGCGTAGCGGTGGCCCCGCACAGTGAGCTGGTGAGCCAGCTGGCGCCCGTACTCTGCCGGCGGCACCACCATGGCTGGGTGCTGCGCGGAGCGCAGCAGGCCGCACTGGCGCAGCAGCAGCAGGCGGTGGGGCTGCGAGGGCAGGGCGCGGGCGGGGCGCAGCCAGGCCGGGAGCGGCGGCAGTGTGGCGGCGGCGGGGCCGCCGCTCAGCACGCCCAGCGCGCCGCCTTCCAGCAGGCTCGTCAGCCCGCGGGCCGCAGGCTGCGGTGCCTCCTGCTGCCGCCGCTCCAGCAGGTGTGACAGCAGCTGGTGCAGGGCATCTGATGGCAGGTGGGCGTACCGCTGCTGCAGCTCGGACAGGCTCAGCGGGTGCTGGGCGCCTGCAGGCGGGAAGCGTGGCGGGCGGGGGTTTGGCCAGAGGGGAGCTTGGGGAAAAGGAACGGCCCGTGGAAATGCAACAGCACCACAAGAGGGAGCTAGCAAGGAGGAATCAGGCAAGGCACTGGGCAGGGGGTGAGGCAGCACCGAGGGACCCAGCGCACCGGTGACGTCGTGGCGGCGCGGCAGCAGGCCCTGCGCGGCCGCCTGCGCCGCGAGCTGCGCGCCCAGCGCCGCAAAGGGGCCGCTGCTGAGGGCCTGGACAACCAGGAACAGCACCTCGTCCTCTGGGGCACCACCCAGCGACACCATCGCCATCGCGAGCGGCCCGGCTGCCGGCTGGCAAGCTGCCTCTCTGCCTGGCACGGGCTGCGAGAGCCTTCCGACAGCTTAGGAGGCCGCTAGGGGCCGCATAGGCGTGGACTTGGGGCGAACTCCTGCCAAATTGACTGGGCTGGGTGGGCAATCATGGGGGTTCGGGTGTGCAAGGAGTGGGCGTGCCGCACCAACAACAGGTGGGCCTGCTCGCGTTCTGGCGTCCGTGGACAGTTCTAGAGCAGTGCGGGATGATGACGAGTAAGATGCAAATGAAAATATGCGAAAAGAAGAGCTACAGGCAGCACATTTCAGCGCTGAAAGGGGTGGAAAGCCGAAGGAACACCATTTGTTGCGTTTCGGGGTTCCCTGCTCCTCACACTCCATCATCATGTCCTTCCAAGCTTTTAAGATCAACAAGAGCAAGGGGGCCAAGCGGGCAGGGTTCTCAAGCTCCTCTGACGTTGAGGACGAGGCTATGCCGGGTCCCAGTGGCCGCCGCAGCAGCTTGACGGCAGCGCAATTGCAGGTGGGAGCGGGGATGTCCGCCATCTCACTGCCGCCGCCCGCCGCCTGCCGCCACCGCCTCTCTGCCACTGCTGCCTGCAGGAGGCCGGCAATCAAGCGGCTGCTGCCGGCCAGTGGTCAAAGGCCATGAGCTGCTGGGACGCTGCTTTGGGGGCCTTGCCAGCGGAGGCGCACAAGCTGCACGAATCCAAGGCGCAGGTCTGCTAGACGGCTGCAACCCCACAAGCCTCTGGGGGTCAGCAGTTTTCTCAACACCAGCCCCTGCATTGAGGTTGAACGCCGTTGGTTGCTTTCAGCTGTCCAGCAAGCACAGTAGCTGCCGCGACTCACCCATCGCAGGTGTGGATGGAGGTGGGGCAAGACTGGAAGGCGGTGCAGTGCGCTCAACGAGCGGTGGAGCTGGTGCCGGGCTGGGCTGAGGGGCACCTTACGTTAGCGCGGGCTCAGCTCAACCTGGGGGAACCCGAGCTGGCCCTGACGAGCTGCGAGCAAGCGCTGTCGCTGGCGCCAGGCCACCCAGAGGCGGCGGCGGAGGTCGCCAGCATACGAGCGGTGGTGCTGCGGCGGCAGCAGAGCGGGCTGGCGGCAGGAGGGCAGCGAGTGCACGTCGTGCCAGCAGATGCAGACGGCGGCACCTAGGCCGCCCATGCTTTGGATGCTTGCATCTGTGTTGTGAAAACAAAAGAAAAATGTGGGGAGCAGAAAAGAGGCGCACAATCAGAGGATAAATCAAGAGCAGGCTCTCCTGGCTGCTGTCTGAGAGAACTGCAGCCTGCGGGTTGTTTCCACAACATAGGGATGGGAGCTGGGCAGCGGGCGCGGAAAAACTGCGCAGCTCCTGAAAACGGAGATGGGCGGGCACGGCTCCGCGCCGGCCAGGGGCCCCCACGGAGCCGAGTGCTACTGGTACATGTGCAGGAGGTCCAGCACAGCTGGATACACTTTATCCTTGGCGTCTATTCCCCACGTAAAGTCAAGGTGCTCGTAGCTCTCCTCCAGCTGCGCAGGTGGAAAGAGGGGGAGCGTTCCTCCAACAGGTCTGATGGAGGGGCAGCTGGTGCAATGGGGCGGGCCCAGCAGCTGCCCGACCTGACGAGCGTTCTCCTCACACCCCCACCCGCCCTCCACATTCACACACGCAGCCACACACAGCCAGCCATACCTGCGAGTACACCACGGCATCGGGCGGCAGTGCCTGCAGCAGCGTCTGCACGTCCCGCTCATCCGCCAGCCTGTCCCTGCCGCCGTGGAAGATGGCCAGGGGTGGGGAGGATATGGAGCCCAGGTCGTAGCTGGGAGGCTCCACGCTATGGTACACCCTGCGGCAGCAGGTAGGCAATCCGCGGCGACGGCGGCAAGGAGGAGTGCGTTTTGTGCTGTGCTGCGCTCGGTGTGTGTGCGGTGGTGGCAACGGGTGGTCGATGCAGGCGTGCTTGCAACAACCGGACAGCACATGCCGGGCAGGCTCCATGGGCGGCGCATGCGGCCGCGCCCCGCCTCATGTTACAGGTCTTGGGCAGGCCGCTGGGCAGGGTGCAGACGTCGCCGTAGTCGTAGCGCTGGAACAGCGGGCGCTCCCGCTCCCGGCTCTTGCGGATGGCCTGGGCCCAGTGCGCCAGGTTCTTCACGCTGGTGCCTGCGGGGCAACGGCACCAGGCACGCAGAGGGCAGGCCAAGCGGCTGTCACCGGCCGGGCGACTGCGCCGCGGTCGCGCCGGCGCCCAGCCCGTGCGCGCGCTGCGGGACAGCACCACCGCCCGTGCCGCCTCACCCGAGGGCGCGTACTGCACCATGGTGGGCAGCCGACTCATGTTCATGTTGTCTGCGTTGAACCCGGCTATGGCGGTGATGATGGAGGCGCACAGGGCGGGCGTCTCGCTGCACAGCTGGCCAAACAGGTCGGAGGTGGCGCGGCGGGAGGGCAGGAACTCGGCCACGCCCAGCAGGCTGAAGAGCTGCGGGGCGAGGGGAACGGCGAGGGCAGGAAAGGGGTGGCAGTGGCGGCTGGAGACAGTGGTTGAGGTGTGCTTGAGGTGTGGAGCTCCTTGGCTAAGGTGGGGAGGAGGCAAACCACATTGTAAAAGCATTTTAAAAGCATTTTAAAACCATTTGGCCCAGATTACTTTCTGCAGCAGCCGAGGGCAGCCAGCCCGGCGCCCACCTTGTCGGCATCCATGGCAGCCAGCACCTGCAGCGCGGGGGAGGCGATGTACCGCATGTGCACCGCCGGCGCCAGCATCACCGCCACGCACAGCTTCCCGCGCAGCGCCGGGTTGGAGGCCAGCGCTGCAAACATCTGGGTCGTGCCTTGGGAGTGGCCCACATACGCCAGCTGGGTGCAGCCGCCTGCAGGCCAGGCAGCAGGGGGCAGGGGGCAGCAGCAGCACATGATGTGTGCGTTCCACTTGGCTCCGCAGCTGCCGCACAGCTCCTCACTTTGCTGCGGCACCTGGCCGACCGCGTCAGGGCTGCCTGCTCACTCTGCTGCAGCACATAGTCCACTGCGGCGGGGATGTCATAGGCGGCCATGTCGTCCCATGTGAAGTCCCAGAACGCGGGCAGCGCTGGGTCCAGCCCGGTGTGGTTGCGACTGAAGGCGTTGCCGCGGCTGTTGCCTGCGCGCGGGCAGGCGACAGCGGGGCGGGCGGAGGGAAGCGAGGCTTTAGTACGGGGCGCACTCGCTCAGTCCAGGACCGGCCTGTGGATTGGCACTGCCGGGTGGGGTGGGCAGGCCGGCACGAGGAGAGCGAGCCCGCCGACCTCCCCCCACATCAGCTGGCTGCGTACCCAGCCAGACGTCGTAGCCGGCGTCTGCCAGGATGAAGCCCAGGCTCTGGCTGGGCGTGTTGAGCACCCAGGCCGCGCTGCTGTCCAGCAGGCCGTGCTGCAGCAGCGCCACGGGGCGGCCGCAGGCGCCGCCGGCGGCCGGCGGGCCCTGGTGCCGGCCGTGCGGGATGCGGTAGGTCCCCAGCACATAGCCGTCAGCGGTGGTGACAAAGTGCTCCTCGAGAGGGAAGCCGGCCATGTCCACCACAAGCTCTGTTACGAACGGCGGGCAAGCAGTCGGTCAGAAGGTGGTCGGCCCCGCCACGGGCAGTGCGGGTTGCTCACAGGAGCAGCCTGCACATGAGCCTCGGCAGCTGCTCCGACACAACCATGCTGACCAAGCCCCACCTTCCATGGTCGAGTGCTCATAGAGGAGCTGCTGAGGGCCGACATCGGCGGCCTCCACCGCCACAAGCACGGTCTCTGCTCCGCACCCACCGCTGCTGACAAGCTCCTGGGCCGCGGCTCCTACTGCAGTCTGCAGGCTCACTGCCTGTCCGACGGGCTGCACGGCCCAGGCCAGCCGCGCTGCCAGCAACAGGCAGGCGAGGCAGCGTTTCGTCATGGCGAAGCGTGCGACATAGCGCAGTGGCGATGGGGAAGCTACAGCTGCATCTTTCAGGGGGGAGGGCCTGAAGTGCGAGAGTCCGAAGCTCTGCCGCCGCACGGCACAGCAGGCAGTCGAATGAATCAATGTGCTTGCTGATCAGGCTCGCTGTGGGTTTCCCAGTAATGCTCAGCGATCTCGGCACCTGTGGACGCGGCCACAGCAGGCCAGCTCCATGCTAGCCTCCCCAACTTGGGGCAGGAAGCGAGAGCCTCCCCAGCTGGGGGCTAGCAGCGACAAGGAGAACGCGCCAGGCGCTCCCTCTCCATCCGCTGGCGGCGGTGGGGCCAAGCGGCGCGCCACCGACAGCGGCGTGCAGCTGACGGCAGCTGACGGCGGCAGCCCAAGCCAGGAGGAGCGAGGTGTGGCGCAGGTGCCGTCCCTGCCATCAGAGCCATGCCTGGTGACCGCTGCCTCGGCTGGCAGCGGCGTAGGACCAGCGCCGGCAGCTCCGCGCGATGCAGGCAACCCGCCAGGCGGCGCCACCGACAGAGAGCCAGCCGACCCGCCGCCAGGCGCCGCAGCAGCCAGACCGCCACCGCAGCAGCCCCGCCGCTTCGCCAGCCGCTCCTTCTACGGCAGCCGGCTGCAGCAGGCGGGCGGCGGCACGGCCCGGCAGCAGCAGGTGGAGGATCGTGTGCTGCGCTTCCTGGCAAATGTGCAGCGCCGGTTTCAGGCGGCGGCAGACGCTCCCTCGGCCGCCGCCGCCACCTGGCAGGTCTTCCCCAGCCAGCAGCCCGCCTTTGACCTCGCAGACTCGCAGCCAGGGCTGGAGGTCTTCTCAGGTGCCTGCCGGTCGGCAGCCTGCTGCCACCTCCTTGCCCCCACTACCTGCGCTGGGACCTGCACACCACCTCCGCACCCGTGCCCCTTGGTTGTCGCCCCACTATTGCCTGCTGGGCTCCCCTCCCACGCCCATCTGCAGTGGAGTACGGCCAGGACGGCAAGCGCCGCTTCATCGCCACCAGCCGCGCCGAGTTTTGGAGGCGATACCTCGACATGCTGCCCCAGCACCGCCACTACTACGAAATCATCCGCCAGGGCGCCCCCTGCCACCTCTACTTTGGTGAGCGGGAGTCCTTTGGTTGGCATGCCACGCTTCCCAACCCTCTGTTGGCGCTGTGCTGCGGCAAACCCACCACACAACACCAGTGTGCTTCTTGCGGCGCTGCTCTGGCGCAGACCTGGAGTTTCAGCGGGAACACAACCCGGGCCTGGACGGCGGCGCGGCGGTGGACGCGCTGCTGGAGCTGGTACGGGAGCAGCTGCGTGGCAGCTTCCAACTGGACATGCAGGACAGCTGGGTACTGGAGCTGGACAGCAGCACTGACACCAAGTTCTCGCGGCATCTGGTGATCAGGTGAGGGCTGGGCATGACTCCTCCACCTATGGGTGGCGTGGCGTTTGCCCATTGTGCGCCACTGGCAGCAGCCCATGCCAGCCTCCACACAATGCTTGCAGGCCAGCGCTGCACAAAATCAGCCCGCCCATGCATGCACCTGGCTGCCACGCTCGCAGGATCCCGGGCGTCGCCTTTGCCAGCAACGCCCACGCCGGCGCCTTGGTGCTCCAGCTGTGTGCTGGGGCCAGGGAGCGGCGGGGGCAGGACTCGCGCTGCGAGCTGCTCATCGTGAAGAAGAAGGTGGGAAGAACGGAGGCGGTGGTGTGCACGTGTGTACGCCTTTGCATGTTGCGGGTTCTACGCGCTCTGGCGGGCTGCCCCTGCCCTGCCCTGGAGCCGGGTGCCACCGACTGCTGCTGGTCCATATGGCTGCTGGGTGCGTGCAGGGAGGCGAGGAGGCTCTGTTTGTCGACCCCGCCGTCTACACCCGCAACCGCGCATTCCGCCTGTACCTCTCATCCAAGGCCGGCAAGCAGGTAGAAGCGGTGTGGGTTCTTGGGGGCGAGCCGGCAACTTGCAGTACGCACCTGCAGGCTGGGGCGTGCAGTGCTGCATAGGTGGGGCTTTACTGTGTCACGTTGCTGGGCGCTGCTTGTGCTGCAGGCAGTGCTGCAGAACACGGGGCGGTTTGGGGGCGCGGGGCTCACGATGCAGGAGTGTTTCGATGCCGCCCTGGTCACCAATGTGCCGTCGGGGGTGCGCCTGCTGCGCTGCTTCGAGGAGTCGGCTGAGGAGGTGGCGGCGCTCACGGCCCGGGCCAGCCGGCAGCAGGCTCGGGGGGTTGTGCCGGGCGGTTTGGTGCCTGGCGGCGCGGGCCAGGTGTGCTATGGGCCGTGCCCTCACCCAGAGCTGGAGGCCTTCATCACCAGCATGTGCTGCGAGGTGAGCGGGGATGACAGTATTACCCCCTGGTACTGCTGCTGGTACCACCGTCGACTGTTACCGCTGTTGGTACCTCCTGATATTGCCAGACAATGGGCGGCTTGCCCCGCTCACGAAGCAGCAAAGTCCTTCGCCAAAGTGTGGCCAAGCCATTTCCCTGGAATTCCTCTGACTCCCCACCCCGCAGGGAGGCTCGCAGGGGCGGGTGCGCAGCTGGGTGGAGCTGGAGCCGGGGCTGCTGCTGTTCAACATGAGGGACAACCGCTACTGCGGCAACGTGGGCAGGCAGCACAAGAGCAACGGCGTCTTCTACGTGGCAGACCTCAAGGGCGGCAGCTGGTGCCAGCGCTGCTACGACTCTGGTGCGGGCTGCTTGATGCCTTCCCATCAACACAACGTGCTGTGATCTGCTTGATGGCCCAGCCGGTGTCGTGCTCTGCTGTTGTGTTTTCCATGTTAACGCACGTCTTGGCTTCAACGCGATGCAGAGTGTCGCAACTACCGCTCGCCGCTCATGCCGCTGCCGGCGCACCTGCTGGCGGAATGGCCTCAGCAAGCAATTCCTGCAACTCCGGCGCATGGCGCCCAGGGCCAGCCAGGCAGCGCCGCCGCGGTCAGCGCCTGTGCCAGCTGCGGCGGCAGCGGCAGCGCTCGGGGCTGCCGCTGCATGCTGCCGGCAGCCAGCCATGGCGCAGATGACGACAGTCTCATGCTGCAAGCGCTGGAGCAATACGAGCAACAGCGGGGACCGCAGCAGCAGCAGCAGCAGCAGCCACAACCTGAGGCAGCCGCATGCACAGCAGCAGCAGCAGACGTAGCAGGGGAGATCGCAGCGGCCGAGCCGTCAGACGACGCTCTGCTGCTGCAGGCGCTGCTGCAGTGGGAGCAGCACGTGGCTGCCACGCCAAATGGGGTGGGGGAGGGCCCAGGCCCGTCCCCGGCACTGCCCGCCGCGGCACAGCAGGCGCAGCATCAGCAGGTTCTGCCGCCGCCCACGGCCCAGCCGCAGCAGCGGCCGCTGGAGGTCTGGGAGAAGCTGCTCTAGGCATGTCATTTCATGATGCCCTAGGTTACATGTGTAAGCTTACGTGGCGCATTCAAATACAACAGTACAAGAGGCGGCATGCGTGGCGTGGCCCAGCCAGGCGCAGCCGAGGCAGGCGAGACCTCCACCCAGCCAGCAGGTCACCCAGCTGTCAGGCCTCGGGCAGCAGGCTGCTGTGAAGCGTGCGTTGGCAGTGCAGGGCACACAGGTCCCACGCAAAGGCGCAGAGAGCGAAGAGGGCGCCGCCCATGGCAGGCGCGGCATAGCCCTCAGCGCCGCCCAGACACGAGCGCAGCGCGCTGTACACCCGAGCCTGCCGCCCCCGCTCCAGCGGCAGCCCCTGCTCGCTGCGCTGCTGCTGGTGGCGGTGGAAGGTGCGGCCGGCGGCTGCCGCCTGCAGCAGGAGCGGCGCCAGCAGGCCCAGGCAGACCAGCAGCCAGCTCAAGACCGTATCGCACTCTGCCACAGGGTCGGCCGGCGGCACCTGCTGGGGCGGCAGCAGCGTGGCCATGCGGAGCAGCTGCGCCGTGGTGTGGATGTCGCGCTGCACCGAGGGATGAGCCAGGTGGCCCTCGCACATGCCGCGGAAGCTGCGCCGCAGGGAGAGCACCGCCACCGCCTGCGCAAAGCAGCTCAGGCTGCGGCGGGCGGCAGGAGGGAGAGGCAGGGGAGAGTGAGCACCGGCACAAGATGCATGGGAAGGAAGCAGCCGGCGCCGAGCAGTAGAGGAGGCTCTGCAGGAACAGCAGAAGTGCAGGGCAAGGCGGGCCAGCCACCGGCCAGCCACCTGCAAGCCGAGCAGTGCGCCAAGGGGGCCGCCGCACCTGAGCCGAACCGGCCAGGCCATGAGCATGAGAGGAAAGGCGATGCTTGCGCTGGCGTAGAGCAGGCGCGGGAGGCTCACGCAGAGCCCCAGCACGCCGCCGGCGCTGCCGGGCTGCGGCAGGGCCGCCAGCGTGCGCCCATGCATCCTGCCCGCTAGCCCCAGGCCAAGGTCTATGGTGCGCAGCAGCGCGACGAGCGCCTCGCGCCACCGCACGTAGCTGTCGGATGGCAGCGGCGGCCGGCTGCAGGTGGCGTGCCAGGCCATCTGTGCCGCGCAAGCTGCCAGGAAGACGAGGGACCAGGCGTGGAGGGCAGGGTCGAGGATGTGGCGGGCCTTGAACACTGTGAGGAGCGTGATAGCCTGCAGGCAAGAGCAGGCAAGGGATGGGCAGCCTCAGGCCGTTGGTGTGCGGCGGCGGTACCACCGGTGGTACCACCGGTGGGCAGGGCCCCGGCAGCAAAGAGGAGAGGCAGCTCACCACAATGACAAGGTCCGGCAAATGACTGCGGCTGGCGGCGGCCAGGTTACACCGGACATGGAAGGGCAGCGAGGGGTCCCCAGGCAGGTCCTTGCATGCTGGCCTCGTGTGCAAGCCTTGGTTGCTGGCGCCCTGGCTTGGCTCTTCCGCCGGCTGCCACATGCTTCGAGATGAAGAGGGGCGAGTCAGCACGCTGCACAGCGGGGCGGAGTGCGGCGCCGTAAGTGGCGGGGGTGGCCACCGGTGGCGGCGCCGGCCACCACGGCCCGTGCTGTCGGCGGTCGAGATGCCAAACCAGTGTACTGATCCTCACCTGCAGGAACAACGGCGGGGAGGCGCGTGGTAGGGAACCGCGCCGCGACGAACACTGCAGTCGGGATGCCGAGCTGCAACAGGTGCAGAGCGGAGAGGTGAGTGCAGCAACGGGGGTGAGTGCAGCAACGGGGGCGACCCCACAGCCGTACTGTAATGGCGCATCAGATCTGCTGACATGGCGGTGGCCCGGCACGTCCTGCCTGAGGTCACGCCGGCCTGCCTGAAGCCTGTGGTACATCCGCCCTTTGCACGTGACGTTCTTGCAGGCTAGATTCAAGAGTCTTGCAGGCTAGGTTCAAGACAAAACTTAGAAATGCAACAGGTGTTAAAAACAGTGCAGGAAGAACCGGCTGGCTAGGGCAGGCAGTGCGGAGGAACCATACTCGAAATAAAGACCCGGTCAGATGGCGAAAACTGATGCCGGCACAGGGGCGCACGCCACGCACACACGCTGTGTGATTTCGGCGGCGCCGCTGCCTCGCCCCCCTCACTTGGGGTCCAGCGGCGGCACGTAGAACTGGCGGCCCGCCTCGTCGCTCATGAGCACCCGCTCATTCACGCCCATGCGCTCGCACTCCTCGCGGATGGAGTTGAACAGGACGGAGGACAGGTAGCGCTCCCCAAATGAGGGGATGATGGCAACCACCAGCTTGCCCGCGTTGTCCGTCCGCGACGCCACCTCGATCGCCGCCTGCGGAGCAAGCATGGGGGGGAGGGAGGCGGGGAGGGCTGGGTTGCCGCTGGGTCATGGTCTGCGTGTGTGGGTGGGTAGTGCGGCCTCCCTCCCGCCGTGTTCCTGCGCTGTGCCTCGCAAGCCGCGGGAGACGTGGCCCGCACACCGCAGAAGGCAGGTGGCAAGGCAAGGGGTGGCGCATAATGACATGGCTCCCATGGCACGGGCCAGGATGAGGGAGTGCCTGGCGCAGACCCGCAGGCGGGCGCCCTCCAGCGAGGCCCGGCCACCCGGCGACCCGCCGCACCTGCACCGCCGCTCCCGACGAGATGCCCACCAGCAGCCCCTCCTCCTTGGCTAGCCGCTTTGCCATGCTGACCGCGTCGTCGCTGTTCACCTGCACCATCATGGGAACAGTAAAGGCTCAGGCAGGCCCTGAAACAGGATGCAGGCAAAGCGAGACCCGGCCGCTGCTCCATCCTCGGCCCCAGCCCTGCACACCTCAGCCCAGCGCCGCAGTCCCAGCCCCAGCCCGCCCCTTTGTGACGCACCTTCACCACCTCGTCGTAGACCTTTGTGTTGAGCACGCCCGGCACAAAGCCGGCGCCGATGCCCTGGATCTTGTGGGGGCCGGGGCTGCCGCCGCTCAGCACCGGCGACTCCGTGGGCTCCACGGCCACCACCTTCACGCCCGGCTTCTGCAGGCGGCCGGGAATGGGGGCGAGAGGACAGGGCAGGGTGGGAGGATGGGCAGGCGTGCCTGGGAGCGGCTGGATGGGAGCATGGCGACAGCAAGCACGAGCAGGGAAGGAGCAGCGGCAGCAGGGGGCGTGGGCGCCAAGCGGCGGGAAGGCAAGCAAGAACATTGGAGAGGAAGGTGGCTTGCCTTGGACTTGAGGAACTCGCCGGCGCCGGTGATGGTGCCGCCGGTGCCCACGCCGCTGACAAAGAAGTCGATCTGTGGGCGAGCGGTGCGGGCGGGGCGTCGGCAGGGGTGTGAATGCGGCGGGGGGGGCAGAGGCGTCGGCTGAGGCTTCTGGCATGAAGATGGCAGGCGCGCCGTGCTCCCTGCGAACCCACCGCAGCCCTCGGCTGGCGGCCAGCTGCTGTCCCTTGCAGGGCGCAGGCAGCTGTGCCGCGCGCGCACCCGCACCCACCTTGCCCTCGGTGTCCCGCCAGATCTCGGGCCCCGTGGTGAGCCTGTGGATCTCGGCGTTGGCGGGGTTGTTGAACTGCTGCAGGATGTAGCTGCTGGGCGTGCCCGCCGCAATCTCCTCGGCCTTGGCCACCGCGCCCTTCATGCCTGCGCCCAGCAGGCCAGCGGTGCAGGCGGCGAGGCGCCAGGTCAGCCATCGGCTCGTCGCCGCCGCCTGGGGGAGCATCCTCCCAGAAAACGAGCGCCAGCCCGCTTCGGCCCTCCGCAGTCACAACCAGCTAGGCTTGCCATGCCCACACCCTTGCCTTGCCCCACCCTACCACCCCCGCCGTCCCCCCGGCCCAGCCCCAGCCACCAGCTGCCACCCCTGCCCAGCCCCAGGCCTCACCCTTGGCCGGGTCTGTGAGCACA